ATGGGGTACAGAAATCTATCCTGTCCTACAGGAAAATTGAAGGGGAAGGGAATAAGAGAAGTTGGGTAGATAGAAGGGAGGGCAGATTAGGGGTCAGAATACATGCCATCTTGGGGTAGGGGGAGGGAAGAGATGGGGAGAAAATTTGGAACTCAAAATCTTGAGGAAGTAAATGTTGAAAGCAAAATAAATAAATTAATAAGACAATAAAAAAGGGAAAAAAAATAAACATATGATCCTTTGTCCCCTTCCTGCCTTCTTCCCACCCCATCCCAGGTTCTTCTCCCTTGGAAAGTACCGGTAGCTGTATTTTGGCTGCACTGAGATGAGAATGATGGTAGCCGGCAGCTGTAGCAGAAATTGCAGTGGTTCCTGATTCATGGTAAACAGAGACAGTCTGCAAGCCTGCCATAAGAGAGAAAAAAAAAATAAAGAAGAAGCCCCAGGGTAACAACCCTCAACCTCATCTTAAAAATGAAATCAGCTCGATATTCTAGCTATTTATATCCAGAGAATGGTTGTTTTAAAGTCCTTCATCATGTTTTTTTTTCAGTACCACCCTAAACAAGAAAAAGAACCCTCTAGGTCACAACACTGAACTATGCCCCCATTAAATGACTCACAACAAACAGGGGGTCCTTACCATGAAGCTTCTTTTGGCTGCTCCCGTCATCTTTCAATATCAGTTGCATTGGCAGGTTGGGTTCAATGCTGGCCAGAGAGGGCTTAGTGGACTCCCATTTGATGTTCAAGGAACTGAAATTGTCAAATCGACGACCTTGTTGATCATAAGCAGCCAAGTCTAGGTCAGGGTTTCGATAATTCGAAACGGGCACCTATGAGAGAAACATCAAACCGCTGGCCACATTCTGCATCCTGGATAGACATTAGCACTGGTACAGAGACCAGTGCTAATGCTACCTACATTACAGGTCTAGTTGTACCTGATCTGTTTGGCTCCAAAGGATGTGAGCTGTAGAAGATGCAAATACAGGTGTGATATAAAGAGAAACAACAACAACAACAACAACAACTTCCCAACAATTTGAGCTGTCCAGAAGTGAAACGGGTTGCTTTAAGAAGTAGTACCAGGTACTCCCTTATTGGACATCTTCAGAGAAATTGTGGATGACCACTTGTGGGGTATGTTATTGAAAGGATTCTTGTTTAAGAATGAATTGTACTGGGGGCATCTAGGTGGTGCAGTGGATAGAGCACCACCCCTGAAGTCAGGGGGACCTAAGTTCAAATCCGGCCTCAGACACACGATACTTGCTAGCTGTGTGACCCTGGGCAAGCCACTTAATTTGCCTCACCTAAAAAAAAAACCAGAATGAATTGGACTAGATGGCTTCTGAGGCCTCTTCCCATTCCAACATTCTTTGATTCTCTTACGAACCACATCTCAGGACAATGTCATCTCAGAAATGGGAGCCACTGATGACAAGAGGGACCAGGAATGGAGGTGGGAGTGGTTCAAGGTGACATTCCCATTATGGTCCGACCTTTGAGGTCTTCCTCTACATGTCCAACTCTTCATCTTTACTGGTTCAGTCAGCTTGGTCTCTTCATTGTCCTTTCTCCTTCCCACTCCTATCCAAATTCTAGCAATCCTTCAGGACTATACTATTTCCTTCATGTCTTCCAAAATTACTCCTGTTCCTTATCATAGAATTGCAGAGTCAGAAGGGACCTGAGGGGCCACTAGTCCAATCCACACTTAAACAAGGGTCCTTTCCACAACAGCCCCGACGAGGAGTCATTCAGTCTTCATTTGGGGGTGGCAAAGCTGCTGCTTCTTGTGGGAGTTGATTCTACTTACAAATATGTATAATTGTTACAAAATTACATCAGATCTTAGTCTGACTCTCTGCGATTACCCGATAATATTCCTAGTTATGTCCTTTGGGAGCCAAGAAGAATAAGCTTAATCCTTTACACATGAGGGCTCCACAAATACTTGGAGACTACTTGTCACATCTTTTCTTCTCTTGGTTTAGCTACCTGAGTTTCCTGAAACAATCCTTGTATAGCAGATTCTCCAATCCCCTTACCACCTTGGATGGCTTCTTCCAGATGCTCTTCTGTTTATCTATGTCTTCCCTAAAAGATGCAACCAAGAATGATCTCTTCTGCCTTTGAACTCCTTCTGTCCTTTTTGCTTTGTTCTAAATCACTCGATCACACACACTGTCCCATACTGTTCTCTAATGATTTCATGCATGGATTTCTCATCTTTGCCAACTAGACTACAAATCTTTTGAGGGCAGGAACTACATCATCTCTTCTCATCCTTCCCCCACAGTGCCTGGTACTGTGTGGCTCACATAGAAGATGTTCCATAAAGACATTCTGCTTTACTGATGAGCAGTGGAAAAACAATTCAAAGTATATGTCTGACTAATGGCTGGTCAGTAGCATCAACTGTGCCCTACTTATATTCCTAATGTAATGGGAGAAAATTTATCATCTCAAGTCCTTATTGCACACGTGATGCCATGGAAAAAGAAAATCAATGGCATTAACTTTCTTCTCTATTCACCAAGCATGCATATTTACTCTCCTTAAGAGAAAAGAATAGCTACTTCCCAGGCAGGTCATGTCTATATCTGCTCAATTCCATATCCTCATTATGTCCCATGCTTAAGACTACACCAGGCTAATCAGAGCCAGTTTCTACTAAGAAATTCAACTGTCTAATATGATCAGGTCTCTTCCATCCCAGCATCTCACCTCACCAATTATTTACTTAGAAAATACTTCCTTGGTGACCTCTGGATTAAAGGAAGTATAAAATTAAAGCAATGTAGCACACAGGGCAGAGGAGAGAGATAAATCTCTTTTTCTCCCCAAGGACATCTGATGAGATTATAAATTACAAAAGCAATGCCAGAGTGGCTCAGGGCTACTGACTTAAGATTGATTTATCACATGACAATTCTTCCACCCTGGTACATTAACGCCTGGAGATATCTATGACACATCGCCACTAGCCCATCAAAGACTGTACACTTAAGTCAGATTGTCTTTTACCTGGGTGAGAGAACCATTCTATAAACTCATGAGAACGTGAGAATCATGGACAGTTCAAGGCTGGTGCATAAAGGGAATGTTTACCACAATGGATCTCCTCTGAAGAGGCTCTGTATGGCTCCTGGACACACACACCACCCATTATTCTATTTGGATGTGTCTTTGGGACACACCCCCTTCTGAATGCAGGGTCCGGGTAAACAGTGGAGCTGAAAACACTAAACCATCTATATTTTACCTTGACTTATATCTCACTGAGCTATTAATCCCTAGGGGAGGCAGCCTCTAAACAATCAATCCCTAGGACTACAGGGGATAAAACAGCCAAATCCCAGCAGGTGTGATTGTGGTCAATAAATCATGAAGGGGATGGAGAGACTGAAATGTGACTTCACCCAATCCCAGATGCTAGAACTGTGGGGGGCCCCTTGGAGTCTGAGAAAGGTAAAATTTAGATCACATAAAAGGCTGTTCTACTTTACCCAGTAAGGAGTAAAGTGAGGGCACTAGTTATTCCAAGAAATAGTAAATGCCAGCCAGAAAAACAACAGCAATAATCATAGCATCAGTAAGCTAACCTTTCTACAATGCAAGGATTACAAAGACATTCACAGATATTATCCCCTTTGATCTAAACATCTTCAAAACAGGTATAGATGAATGGCAGATCCATAAGTTATTAAGAGGAAGTAGGGACAGCCCTTTCTACCCTCCTCTCCCTTCTCCCCCTTCCTTCTTCCCTGATTTTCTCCTTCCTCCTTGCCTTCCTTTCTTCTTTGTTTCCCTCCTTCCTGGATCAGTTCATTTTATTCTTTGTTATTACAAAACTATTTCTGCCTAGGCTCTCTGGATAGATACTCAAGCATGGTTGGTGAATTCCCAATATTCCAGATTTAGTGAATACAGTTTCCTTCCATAGGTCTGGAATTGGGCAGCTATAGGTTTTAGAGATGGCACCACAGATTGTTTTAGACAGTACAGCCTCTATCAGAGATGTGGTGGTCATCAATTCCAACCATTATCAGTAGCTTCTGAGGCATAGAAGCTGAGACAATACCAGTGCCTCTAGGGGCAGGAATCAGACATGTCAGAACTAATCCCCAATGCCCAGGGACTTGCTGAGCACTGTGTGAGGCTTACCAGTCTTGTCTTACAGGAATGATGGACAGCTTGGTCAGGATGATAGCACCACAAATAGCTGTAGCCATTTCCTTGGAACACTTGACACCCAAGCTAACATGGCCATTATGTGCATATACATGTACATGTATATGTATATGTATATGTGTATGTATAGACCCCAATGGCTACATTGAATCTGGTACGCCAACCAGATCTAGTCTATTTCTGATTAGGCATGATCTTTAGAACCTCTCTCTGCCATACAGTCCATTCTCCACTCAGCTGTCAAAGTGACTGTCCTAAGTGACAGTCCACCATTTCTATCACCTCTAGAATCAAATATAAAATCTTGGGTTTGGCATTCAAAGCCCTTCATAACCTAACCCCTTTTTACCTTTCCTGACTTCTTCCCCCCTGACCCTCTACCCCTATAGTCTTAGTACCTCATCTTTCAGTGAAGGACTAGGCTCCTTGATGGAAGGTAGAAAAGACAGATCTTCTCCAAGGACTGGATCTTCACATCCTGAACTAGACAGCCCAATATGATGACAGGAACTCACTCCTTATCTTTGGCTTTCCTCCTCAGGTATTGCTGCCTTGACCTCAGTCCCCACTTCCAAAGCCAATGCAGAAGCCACCCCTGCCTCCAACCTCAAGGGTGTCCCCCACCTCCTCCTGAAGTAACAGTGTCATCTGTCATTTTGTGCTTACTAGGAATAGAAGCCAGCCATGTCTTTTTACAAAGTATTTTCATTAGAGATAGAATTGTGGACTGAACAAAACATGATGCTGACTAAAGATGTCAGTACTGACGTGATAAGAGTGACTCAGACTTGAAAACAACTGGATGGCAGTGAGAATACTGGTGTATGTGTGTGTGTGTGTGTCTGTGTGTGTGTGTGTGTGTTTCTGTGTAGGTCTGTACATATCTCTATCTACTGGAAGGAAGAAGAACAAATTTTCTCTCTATGAAACACAGCCCTTTGGGGACACTCATGAGGAGATGGAATACATTAGGAGGAATCCACAGAGTCAATAATGTGGGATACGCATTAAAATTTGCCTAAAATTTGCAGATGAAAAGTGCTTAATTCAGTAATGTTTTATAATATTGTTTTTGCCAGGGTTCAAACATCCTGGGAAGAAAGGTCTTTGCTTAATGTCAGTCTAATTCATATTGTTTGGTCTAATTGGACCAGACAATTGGATTTCAATTTTCTGTCCCTCATTATAGTATGACTCCTCTGCCCCTACCAATATTTCCCTGATTGACCAAATTTATTCCTCACTAGGTCCCGATTTCTTCCATCCTCCCTCTGCTTTTCTCTCCCTTTCTTCCACTTGGGATCTGAATGAGAGTCATAATTGCTGGCTGAATCAGAGCTCTGATATTTTTGCTTTCTGAGAAAAAAAAGTCATATCCATTTTCTTGGCCTCAGTTTCTCTATCAGGAAACTGAGAAGACTAGTTAGCCTCTAATCTCCTTTCCAGCTCTGACTTTGCATGATTTTATGAATACAATGGCTGGCCTCACCACCTTATTGATTTCCTCCTTTTTGGCCATGTCCAGCTTCTTGGTCCACAGACACCTAACACTTATAACCCTACTTGCTGACACTCCTAAGTGACTTCTGGAGTTCTTAGCTCTAGGAACATGTTTTTTTCCTGGGTAGGCAGCAATGATCTGTTCAAAAAATATAGTTCATAAACTCACATAAATCACCAGCATTTCTATATATTACCAACAAAATCAAGCAGCAAAAGAGAACGAGAAATTCCATTTAAAATAAATATAGACAATATAAAATATTTGGGAATCTACCTGCCAAGACAAACCCAGGAACTATATGAATACAATTACAAAACACTTTTCTTCACACAAATAAAATCAGATCTAAACAACTGGAAAAATATTAATTGCTCAGGGTTGGCTAAGCCAATATAATAAAAATGACAATACTGCCTAAATTAATTTACTTGTCAGTGCCATGGCAATTAAACTACCAAAAAGAATTTTATAGAGCTAGAAAAAATAATAACAAAATTCATCTGGAAGAACAAAAGGACAAGAATATAAGGGATTCAATGAAAAAAATGTGAAGGAAGGTGGCTTAGCTACACCAGATCTCAAAATGTATTACAAAGTGGTAATCATCAAAACAATCTGTTACTGGCTAAGAAACTGAATGGTGGATCAGTGGAATAGATTAGGTGTATAATACACAGTAGTAAATAACCACAGTAATCTAGTGTTTGATAAGCCCAAAGATCCAAACTTTTGGGACAAGAACTCACTATTTGACAAAAACTGCTGGGAAAACTGGAAAGTAGCTTGGCAGAAAGTAGGTAAAGACCAACATCTCACACCATACACTAATATAAGGTAAAAATGGGTACATGATCTAGACATAAAGGATGATATCATAAGCAAATTAGGGGAGTATGGAGTAGTTTACCTGTCAGATCTATGCATAAAAGAAGAATTTATGACTAAACAAGAAGTAGAGAGCATTATGGGATGTAAAAGGGATAATTTTGATTATACTAAATTAAAAAGGTTTTACACAAATAAAATCAATGAAGTTAAGATTAGAGGGGAAGCAGAAAACTGGAGAAAAATTTTAATAGCAAGTTTCTCTGATAAAGGCTTCATTTCTCAAATATACAGAGAACTGAGTAAAATTTATAAGAACACAAATCATTCCTCAATTGATAGACAAAGGCAGTTTTCAGATGAAGGAATCAAAGCCATCTATAGTCATATGAAAAAATGCTCTACATCATGACTGATTAGAGAAATGCAAATTAAAATAGCTATGAGCTACCACTTCACATATATCAGATTGGCTAACATGACAAAAAAGGAAAATAACAAATGTTGGAGGGCATATCAGAAAATTGGGACACTAATGCACTGCTGGTAGAGGTGTAAACTGATCCAACCATTCCGGAGAGCAATTTGGAATTATGCCCAAAAGGCTGTAGAATTGTGCAAACCCTTTGATCCAGCAATAGCAGTAGTAGGTCTATATTCCAAAGAGATTTTTTTTTAAAAAAGGAAAAGGGACTATATACACAAAAATATTTATAGCAGCCCTTTTAGTGGTGGCAAAGAATTGGAAATTTGGGGGATACCCATCAATTGGGGAATGGCAGAACAAATTGTAGTATATGATCGTGATGGAATACTACTGTGCTATAAGAAATGTGGAGCAGGATTATTTCAGAAAAACCTCGAAAGATTTACATGAACTGAGGCAAAGTGAAGTGAGCAGAACCAGGAGAACATTATACACAGTAACAACTATATTGTAACAATGATCAACCATGAATGGCTTAGCTATTCTCAGTAATACAATGATCTAAGACAATTTCAAAAGACTCATGATGAAAAGTGTTATTCACCTCCAGAGAAAGAACTAAATGCAGATCAAAGCATACTTTTTAAAACTTTCTTTATTTTTCTTGGAGTTTTTTTGGCCCATGTTTTCTTTCACAATATGACTAATATAGAAATGTTTTGCATAAATTCACATATATAATCAAAATCAAATTATTTGCTTTCTCAAGGAAGGGGCAAGAGGGGAAAGTAGGGAGAGTATTTGGAACTCAAAATTTAAAAAAAATGAATACTAAAAATTTTTAAATTGGAAAAAATAAAATATTTAAAGACTGAGTTAAAAATATTTAACTTCTGAGAGAGTTCTACACATAAGTATCTGCCTTCCGATCACCTCTTTAGTCTTGGGCTCACACTTACCACTTGTTTGTTCTGTTGCATCAAAGGGCAGGACAGATCCAGCTGAGGACTAGCGTAGACAGGTGTAAGGGTGAGTCTTGAAGGCGGGGCACAGATAAACTTCACTACGGCTGGCTCTGTGGCTGGGAAGGGGTTGGTGACACTGGGCTTGTTTCCAACTGTGAGAGCGATGACCTGTGTGAACCCCATGAAAAGAATACCATCGATCAGAGAAAGTAGCAGACCAGCAGCAGGACAGCTGAATTCCTTTCCCTTTCCATTTCTAACTCATTCCATGACCCCTGTCAAGTCACTTAAGCATCCTATTCTGTGTCTCTGTTTCCCTACCTATAAAATGGGAGTGATGATTCTCTGTCTACTGCCTGCCCTTAAGGGATGCTGAGAAGACAGATAAATTAATATGGGTGAGACATTTTGAGTTTCTCAGACAAAAAAAAGTCACTATAAAAATTCAAGGTTGTATTACCATATTCACAAGTTCACAGATTTTTTAATGAGAATTTAAATAGATTTGAAAAGGCAGGCAAAAAAAATGAAGTATAGATATGAGCTATAGCATGAATAAAGGTAGACTAAAGAGTACGCCTAGGAGAGCATTAGAAAAGGCAAAGATCCAGGACCTACGTGGAAGTACTTAGGACTGGGACTATTTAGCATAGAAGAGAGAAAATTCAGAAAGACATAATAGTAACCTGGGAATCATAGACCAGAGGTCATAAATTATATTATATTAGAGCTAGAAGGAACATTAGAAGTCATTTAGTCCAACCTCATTTTACAGATGAGGAAAATGAGCCTCAGAAAAGTTATGCAGTTTGTCTACAGTTAAAATCACAAGGCATAGGCAGGGCTGGGACTCAAATCAAGTCTTTTGATTCTCAAATCCAATTCATTTACCATTGTGCCATGCTGCTTCTCAGAAATATGTGTGTGTGTGTGTGTGTGTGTGTGCGTGTGTGCATGTGTGTGTACATTCTGAGTCAAGATAAAAAAGTATTCAAGTAATAACGAATATCTCATGCTCAGAGACATTATGACTTTAGAAGAAAAAGAATCTGCCAGGCCCAGGAAAATCTCTGATACTAGTAACTGCTCAGAGTCCCAGAAACTCTCAAAGACTACATGTTTCAGAACAGGACTACAGCAGGGTCATGGGATATAGACCTAGGGCTGGAAGTGGCATCAGAGGATACCTTGTCCAACCTCCTGAGAACTGAGGCCCAATAAATGATTTGCTCAAGGCGCAAAGAAAGTAAGAACCAGAGAATGGGATTTGAAAATAAGTCCTAACTCTAAAGTCAATGCTAACTGATTTGCACTGGTAGGGGGAGTTTCATACACCATAATTCAAAGGTCAAGGGTTCTCTTCCCCACCTCCAAAAAAGAAATCCAGTAAACAACACTGCAAAATGTAAGATGGTTGCTTTTTGCTCTTTATTCTGTGGCTAAATTTGCTCTTGGAGGAGAAAACCATTTCACAGGAGGATCTAATTGATTCCTTCCAGCTCTGACATTCTTAAGTCCTAAGGACCATTCTAACAGCCCTTTCTAACTGACATTCTATGTTCTATTAATCTTGTGGGTGGTTGTCTTTACTGATTGTCACTCAGTCTGAATTCATTCATCAGATCCCTTCCAATAGGACAGCTGCATAAATTTTTCTGGGGGCATTTGGAGATGGTATACTCAGTGAGAAAATTCAGGAGAACAAAATGTTACCCAGGGAAGGAAGGCGAGGTGGGGTACCTGGGAAGCCTGCATGAGTGTCTCAAAGGAAAAAGAAGTCAGGGCCACAGACAAACTGCCAGAACTGTCCTAGTTCTTCCAGGCAATCTCTGATTCACTAGTACCCTCCTAGAGATTCCTGCATACTGTCCCAGCCTTTTCTGTGTCTCCCCTTCAGGACATTCCTGACCACTGTCCCTGCTCCTTACCTGTTCTCCCAAGGATTTGCAGGTCACTCGGATCCAATGCTGCAGGTAGTTCCGGGATGCAGGGGGACCAAATAGGGACAGAGCAATGCTCTCAGCATCTTCTGAGGTGATGTTTCGGAAGAATTTGGAAGGCTCTAGGACCCAGGGCTTAGGACCCCCTTCAAATAACATCTCTTTGGAAGAACCCAATGTCACCAAAGCCACAGAAGAAGGATCAATAGTCTGAAAAGAAAATAAAGGACAAGACATGTTTTCTATGGGTAAAGTAGTGAATGACGAAGAGTTAGGTAACCTGGGTGCAATCCCTAGCTTGTCCACTCAGAGCTATAGGACCTTGGGCAAGTCACAACTTTTCTGTGCCTCAGTTTCTTCAGCTACAAAAAAGGGGTAGTAACATAGTCATTCTACTTATCCGTTGGAATTACTGTAAAGATCACAGGACCTAGAACAGCAGAGACCATATTGTAACCACCATTTTACAGATGAAGAAACGAAAGCCTAGAGGTAGAAAATGTTTGGTGACTTAGGTAGAAAGTGACAGAATGAGGATTCAAAGCAGGACCTTTGACTCTAAATCCAATCTTCCTTCCACTGTGCCCCATCATTATAATGATTTGAAAGCACTCTGAAAATTACAAGGTGCTACACTGACCCAAACGTGTCCAAAGCTGAACTCATTATCCTTCCTCTCAAACTCTCCCCTCTTCCTAGGTTCCCTGTTACTGATGAAGGCACCACCATGCTCCCACTCACCCAGAATCAAAACTCAGCTCTTTGCCCTTTCTCAACTCTCATATCCAATCTGTTGCCAAGTCCTGTCAATTTTATTTTTGTAACATCCCTAGCATATGCCCCCTCTCTCCTGTGACACTGCCATCACCTTCATGATCTCCCTCCTAGACTATTGCAATAGCCTGCTGTTTGGTCTCACTGCTTTAGCTCCCTCCCCAATAAAGTCAGTCCTCCACTCAGCTGTCAAACTGATTGTTCTAAAGCACAGATTTTACCATCTCTGTCACCTCCAGGATCAAACATAAAATCTTAGGTTTGGCATTAAAAGCCCTTCAAAACTCTACTTTTCCAGACTTCTTATAACTTACTTCCTGTCCTCCCTTCAATTCCTTTTCCTTTCCCTTAAAGCTAATGCCATCCTTCTGTTGATTATCTCCAAATCATCCTATATATATATAACTTGTTTATACGTAGTTGTTTTATGATTGTCTCTTCTGTTAGATTGTAAGCTTCTTGGGGGCAGTGTTTGTCTTTTGTCTTTTTTTTTTTGTATTTTCAGAGCTTAGCACAGTACCTGGCACATAGTAGATGCTTAAAAAATGCTTGCTGCCTTGACTGAACTCAGGGTTTATTATTAAAGATGCAGCAAGGTTTAATGGATACTGTTGGACTTTTGAGTCAAGAAGAAATGAGTTTAACCCCACCTCTAGCACTTACAAGCTGTGCAAACCCAAGTCCCTGAACAGCTCTTGTCCTCAGGTAACTTTCTAAAACTGTAGGTGACAGATGACTTCTAATCTGTGTTGCTAGAAGGATTTTCCTTACCAACCAAATGTAAAAGGTCCTTGACATGTTTAGTTGAATATAAGCTTCTTAAGGGCAAAAACTGTTTCTTTTTTTTTTTCTCTGAATCCCTAGCATCCACCAGTGCATGGCTCATGGTGCTACAGGTGCTTAATAAATGCTTGTTGATTGATATTGACCTATTATTGTTATCACAACTATAATTAACTTAAAAGGTGTAGAGAAGGCACTGAGCTCCAGAATAAATGGCCCTAATAGCAAAAGGCATTAGGCATTGTAGATGTACACACCAGGACAGACCAAGTATTAGAAACCTGCATGTGATACATGCCATCACATGTAGGAAAGATGCACATCTCCCTGCCAGCCAACAGTGAGAGGCTACTATTTGGTGTGCAGGGACAGGGGTTGGGGTGGGTAGCTCTCAAAGTGGGGCAAGGGAAATCCCATAAATGCTTCCTTTTGGTATTTTGTAGCCAGAGTGCTTGCAAGGGGTAAAGCATCCTGTTATCTAGAACAAATTTTTTCCTAGGTAGTTCTGGGTAGAGATTCTATTCATGAAAAAGGAAATGTAGGCTCTCTTTGTCCCAAAACTCTGATGCATGAGCTACAACCCTTTCACCAACCCTGAGAGAAAGGTAAAAACTTCTACCCCGCCAGAGGTATTGTATGGATGAAATGAGATATTTGTAAAGTGCTTTGTAAACTTTAAAGCACTATAGAAATACTAATTGTTATAATTTTATTGTTGCTGTTATTGTTATTGCAATAACTAGCACCATCTTCACATAAACATATAGACACCAAGGCTCATGGAGGTTACCTGCCAAAATTAAGCAAGTCAGTGGCAGAATCAGGATGAGATCTCAGGTCTTCTGATTCCCATTGCAGTGACTTTAGCCAAGCATACACCAAAGGGCTCTGATAAATAATGAATTCCTTTCCTTCATTCAAGTGTTTGCTTACACATCATTAGGTATCTGACTGTGAGCCCAAGAGGACCAAGAAAGATAAAGCTAAAAAATAATTATTCCTTGTGTTGGTATGGTACTTTACAATTCACAGAGTACTTTCAATAAATTCTTTCATCTGACCTTCACCACAACCCTGTCAAATAGCTAAAAGGTTAGGAATGCTGCCTCTGACACAGTAGAAAGAATGATACTCTAGGAAGTCAAATGAACTGGGTTCTAGTCCCACTTCTGCCACTAATTCACTTCTTCTTTCTTTGCCTTTGCAAAGTTTGAACTAAATGATCTGTAAGGTCACTGTAAGCTCTGCAATTCTATTTGTTTCAAAAGACCACAATGTTACAGATTGTAATATTAAGTGATGGGGATCAGGGGTTGTGGGATCATAGATTTAGAGTTGGGGGTGCCATAGAGGTCATCCACTTGTCCAAGATCACCCAGGGACTGAGTAACAGAACTAGGAAACTGAATCTAAGTTTCCTGACTACATATTCACCTGAATACTCTGAGAGCTTACAAACTAGACCTGCCACATTGTTATTTTTTAATCTTTAAATAATGCATTATGCACTTAATTTTAAGCAGAACCAAATAAACACACATTTACAATTATTCACACCTAAAAATGAATTTCTACATACAATATGTCTGTAACAGCTTGTTTGCTACTCTTTCTGCATGGCTTCCTTTCTCTGTTTACTTCATTGTTTTCTGAAATAGTGTAATCATCAGTCTCAGAACAAACACCTAAAAAGCAGGGACTTGTGTGGGTGGCGCTAGCAGTGCTGGGTACTGGGAAAGCCACTTAGGAAGAAATGGTATAACCCCCTGAGGGATAGTGACTGAAAGGCAGGCATCTCCAAAACAAAGTAATTTTAAAGTTTGGTTTCTTCTTTCCCCTACCCCAGCTAGGTATGTATATGTTGGACAGATGCTAACCAAGCTCATTCTAATGACTGTAAGTCAAAAGTCCCTAACATAATCACAGAAGCTAATAGCTGAAAGGGACCTCAGAGGCCATCTTCATCTAACCCATACTTTCATAAAGTATGGATTCTGCAATATAAGTAGTCAGTTTCTGTATGAATATCTGCAGTGATGGGGATGCCCAAACCTTCTGAGGTGGCCTATATACTTTGGACAGCTCTGTTAAGAAGTTTTTCTGCTGTCAAGCCTAAATTTCCCTCTGTAACTTTCATTCATCCAGCCCAGTCCTGCTCTCATGGATTCCCTGGCCTCCCTCAAGACAGCTTAAATGCTGTGCTCTACAAAAGGTTTTACCTCATTCTTCTCTCTCCCCACCCCTATTCCCCCTACCTTCCTTTTGAGACTATCTTCATTTACACTGTATGTATCTTGTACATACATACATAGTTATCTGCATGCTGTCTCCCCGGTTAGAATGGGAGCACTGTGAGAGCAGTGACCATATATATATATTTTTTTGCCTTAGCATAATACTCGTCACATAGTAAGTGCTAAATAAATGCACGTTGACTGACACTTGTTTTATTGAACCAGAGCAGATTCCATACAAAAAAAAAACAAAAACAAAGACGAGTTGTGCTGAAGTTAACCTTTGCATGTTCAATGAAAACAAAAGTTCTATTGATTAAATTATTAGTGTAAACAAGACCATGGGAGAATTTAACCCACTTAAGTGAAAAAAATTCTTTCAATTTCAACATTGAAAAGAGGTTCAATTTCAATTCCATTTCAACACTTTTGAAACCAATTTAGTAGCATCCATCTGCAGATAATTAAGTGTGCTTGTAAAGTAATAAGGCTTTTAAAAAGCAATACCTGAATTTATACACATAAATTGTGTATACATCTCCTTGGGAAGCTATACATTTAATCAATGACTCTGTTGCTATTCAAAGCATCTTCAATAGGAACTGTTTTCAGAACTCATTTACAAGTACCACAAAAAATCAGTTTCAATATATTATAATCACATTTCATTTTTAAAAAGCAAAATCCCTGCACTGTAACTAGCTGCTTTTGTACTCAAGATAAGACAGCCATGGCATCCTTGGAAGACTAGATATGTATCTTATTTTTTTTCTGTCGCATTCAGTTTTGCCCATCTGAAGAAAGTTTCTCACTTGCCTCACCCTTATTTCAGTACTGCCAAATCCCTATCACTCCATGGGATCATGCATCTTATTCACAGGCTTGACTCTGAATAAGTTTAGACTGATTCCCCAAATCTCATCTACTACATCAAAGAATGAAGACTTAAAGAGATTTGAAGTGAAGCTCTGAAAGCAATTCCCAAAGAGAAATATTCTGAGCCACATGAAGGTTTATTGGAGTAAGTAGATATCATACCATGGGGGACTACTCTGAAAGGAAATAACATCTATTTGCATGATTAATTGTTGGTCTGTTTATTTAAAAAAGGATAGTCTCATTACATTAAGTCACACCTCAAATTATTCATTGTAAACTATTCACACCCATATTCATTAAAGTCTGTTGGCTAAAGTCACTGGATATACTTTGAATGTAATAAAGCTCATTTCCTTTTTTTAAAAATTCACTAATCCAGACCTTCCATGAATTTAGACTGACATTCCCTCTAGGTATGTTGAATTTATAAGATTTTGTAAACTTTTCAATCCTCTCTAGTCTTTGGCAGCAGTCAGGCTTAATGAGGTGATGGGATGTCTGAGTGCTGCTCCCATTTGGAAGAAGTCAGATGAAAGGATTGCTCTGAGAAGAAGCAAAGGAAGTGTGCTCATCTTGCTGTCTTTGCCTTCGTCAGCTGATTTCAATGGGTGAAGGTTAATGTGGTTAGTTTCCAGCCTGATCAGACTGACCTCAGCTCTCAGGCTTCTGGATAGCACTCCTCCTTAGGCAAAGAGCTTGGGAATGCATCTATGCACCCAGAAAGGAGACACTTGTCTCTGTGACCTGGGGCTGTTGTCTGTCACCCAGTCAGTGGGCAGAGGATGATTTGTGCAGCCTCTTGTACAGTACAGGGTCTGGACGCCAATCTACACCTGGGCTGTCATGCCTAATGCACATGGCTGGAAACATTACAGAATGATTGTGTATAGCTCACATTAATTCACCTGGGATTAGGGTGCTGGCAGAATCTTTCAGAAGCAGATACTTGGAGGCTGAAACAAATTAATCAGAGCTATAGAGGATGCCTATGTTGCTCCATGGCATGGTGGAGGGAACACAAGATTTGCTGTTAAGGGCTCCACATTTGAATCTTGGCACTGCTACCTGTCTAACTTTAAGTAAGTCACATCACCTTCCTAGGCCTCAGTTTCCTCATATTTAAAGTGAGACAGCTGGGAGCAACATTACCTCCAAGATATTATGAAATAATTGCTGAGAACTCAAGGGAGTAGACATCTATCCAGCAGAAAAAGAGGAAAAAATAATTAAAAGAGGCTTATTTATTGAGGAGTGATTGTTACATTGGAGAGTTTAGGATACAAGTTACAAGGGAGGCATCTGGAATGACAGTCTATAGGAACTAAAAGAGTGAGTGTCCTTCTTGAGAAGAAGGGAAGAGCGTGTGGACTTTGTAGGGTACTGCAACGAGATGAAGGGATTCTGATCTCCTTTTTTCAATAACAGGAAAAATCCTGGACTAAAGTCCAATGAGTTGACTCTCACCACATCTAATCCTGATTGTCATTATGCTATTGGATATAGATTGGAATGTAGGGGAAAGAGACAAGAAATATGAGGCATATAAGGTGGAGAGATTCACTCGACCCTGATAGATACATAAATACACACAAAATATATGTCTATAACTCAGGTACAAAGCTGACTTTATAAGATCATAGGATCATAGCTTTAGACCTCAAGGGTCATCCGGTCCAACCCCGACTGCCTCGCCTCATTTTATAGATGAGGAAACTGAGGCTCAAAAGAATTAAGTGACTTGTCCAAGATCATAAACTGATACTAAGTGGAAGAGACAGGACTTGAATTCACAGTCTCTGACTCCAATTGTGGCACTCTTACTGTTCTCCTATGCTACGTAGAGGACTGGGCTAAATGTATCCTGAGCTCT